TTATAGAGACCTTGTTAATGGCCAGTGGACGATGCATGATTAGCTGTAGATTTTTTCATTGCAGTTAGTATAGGATTTTCCTTTAGGTTGCATGGCTTTAGAGTTATTTATACAATAAAATCCTTTCTCAAATGTAAGCTTGAAGCCTGGTGGCTACATGTATTAAGGAAATAGAAGCCTATCTCAGATATAGAACAAAGCCTGTGTTTAAATTAAAGATAGGAGATAAAAATAGATTATAAAGTAGACCAATTACGAGGAGATAGAATAGCTTGTGGCAGGTGTCGATGATAGTAGTAGTAATAACTCCCAGTGTTATTTGAACTGCTAAGTTTTGTTATTTAAGCTACATGGATGCATGGTTGAGAAACCCTTAGGCAAACAAGATGTGTGTAGATAAGGAATGAGGGTGAGCGTTGAGACACGTTATTGAGTGGTGGGTTCATTAATAGCAGCAGTTTCTATGTATTCTGTTTATATAGTACAATATGAAGCATGAAATGACACCTCAACTAACCCAGTATCACAATAACAAAACACTTCCTTTATCTACAACATTCCCCCTATAGTGCAACACATGTATCCCATATATGATTATAAGATTATTATTGTGGCAGGTGGTATAAGAGCTGTTGTGCATATAGACCTGTGAGTTTTGTATTGAACCAGTTTCAATATGAGAGCTAGGATTGTTTATGTTAAGGGGTTCAAAGGCTTCAACATATTGACTGTTTGATGAAAAGCTGTTGTCAATTTGGAATGTAAAGTGCGTTATACTTTATATTGTATGTGATATGAGGTATTGTGTGTGTGTGTGTGTGTGTGTGTGTGTAGTGTAGTAAGTACATGTATATGTACATTAGTAATAGAATTACATGTAAGTATAGAAGCCCCACTAGACTCAGTACTTGTACATTTAGTACAAATGAATTACTAAGTGTAGCATGTACTTAGTGTATTAAATACATAGTGTAGCATGTACTGGTACAATTTGGTAATAGAATTAAACACATGAGTGCCTCTAAACTCATCCATTATCGAGGAGTGGCCATAACAATGCCGATTTTTTTTAATTATAATGTTCTTGTTGGTATTAGCGAATGCTTCAGTGCCATTAAGTTGCAATTTTGTAGGGGAATTTTTTTCACTAATGGCAGCTTATGAGTACAGCTATTTTGTGGGAATAATGGCGTCCACAGGTATTGTACTGTCCACGACGTATTCGATATATTTGTATAATAGAGTATGTTTTGGGACGCCGTCGCACTACTTGCATTTCCCTCGAGACTTGAACCGGCGAGAGGTGTGTGCACTAGTGCCATTGGTGGCATTAATTTTTTTATTGGGGGTGTTCCCGAATGAGGGGTTGGTCTACGGCACAGATGGGCGCTGCGGTTGTGAATAAGGATGAAAGAGTTCAAGGCACCCATGGCAATGGTAATCTGTCTAATTATTATAAGGATACAGACATGTATTCATAATAGGATTAAGCTTCACATGTAGTGGGACTTGTGTATATGTACATGTACATTTGTGGTCGTGTTCTTTAATGGGTAATAAGTGATAAGACCTCTAGTTGTTGCTACATGTACATTCTGTGTAAGTGTTTGGAACATGTAACAGTTAAAATGTGTATACACATGGTATGCCTATTTGTGTATCCATGGCCTTATAAAGAGAATAATTTATTAAGAATGGTAACAGAGAAATGAGGTTTTGATATATACCATTTGTAAATGGATTTGTCAATTAATTTCTCTTTCTCTTTCTCTAGTATCTCCATATGGTAGTTTAAATGCTATGCCTCCTACTCTAATAGTCTCCAGAAATTCTTCTCCTACCTTTACTTGTGAAGCCAGTGGTGGCCCTAATACAACTCTGGCATGGATAAGAGGAAATGAAGATAATATCGAATCCACTCAAACACCAATTGAAATAAACAGTTTCATTGCCAATTTACTGGATGTCATAGTATATGACACTGCCCCTTCATTAGAGTTATCACTTGAAAATGTTAATGGAACTGATGGTGGAAATTATACCTGTATAGCTGTCAATGAGGCTGGAACTGATAATGGATATGTTAGTTTATTAATAATACCACAGATACTCACTAATCCAATGGAACAATATGCAGAAGTTGGAGATGATGTTACATTAACTTGTCGTGCTGATTCCTTCCCAGCCCCTAACTATCAGTGGGAGATGATGAATAGAACCAGTGGGTACTTTGAGCTGTTAGATGATGAAGCTAGTTACATATTAACACTGGAGTCTATCAGTTATGAGGAGTATGGTATGTACAGGTGTGTAGCTACTGCTGATGGTATAGAAGAGAATGCTACATCTACTCCAGCACTTGTTACTGGTAAGGAGTCTATTTATAAAATACTGTATGAGAAATCCATTAATTTTATTTTATGATTTCTTCCTTTTATTACAGTATCACCCCTGGACAGTGTAGTAGCTGATTCAATGACTCGTACAGTATCCATTAATGATGCTACTAACTTCACATGTAGAGCTCAAGGTGGACCTGGGATTATGTTCCGTTGGGTCAAAGGAAACTTTACTGGTCCTACTTTGACTGCTCCACTTGATGTTGATGACTTCTTGGATGATTTAGATAATATTTCATCAAGTTACTTTCTCTCACTTACTGTGGGTGGAGGAGCAGCAGATGGTGGCTATTATACTTGTATAGTAGTCAATGAAGCTGGTTATGATACTGATAATGTTAGTTTGCTAGTGAGGCCGCAGATACTCACCAATCCAGTGGCACAATATGCAGAAGTTGGAAATAATGTTACATTAACTTGTTCTGCTGATTCCTTCCCAGCCCCTAACTATCAGTGGGAGATGATGAATAGAATCAGTGGGTACTTTGAGCCTTTGACTGGTCAAACTAGTTACGCATTAACACTGGAGTCTATCAGTTATAGTCAGTATGGCATGTACAGGTGTGTAGCTACTGCTGATGGTATAGAAGAGAATGCTACGTCAACTCCAGCACTTGTTACTGGTAAGGATTATACTTGTAATAATGATATATTGTTTTATACTAGCGGCAGTCACTGATTTTACTTCATCATCAATTTTTCATTTTTTTCCTATTTAGTGTCACCACTTGGCAGTGTAAATGCTACTCCAATGTATAGTACAGTATCTGTTGGTGATACTGCTACCTTCACATGTAGAGCTCGAGGTGGACCTGGGAACATGTTCCGTTGGATCAAAGGAAATTTTACTGGCCCTACTTTGACTGCTCCTCTTGACATTGATGACTTCTTGGATGATTTAGATAATATTTCATCAAGTTACTTTCTCTCACTTACTGTGGGTGGAGGAGCAGCAGATGGTGGCTATTATTATACTTGTATAGTAGTCAATGAAGCTGGTTATGATACTGATAATGTTAGTTTGCTAGTGAGGCCACAGATACTCACAAATCCAATGCCACAATATGCAGAAGTTGGAGATGATGTTACATTAAATTGTTCTGCTGATTCCTTCCCAGCCCCTAACTATCAGTGGGAGATGATGAATAGAACCAGTGGGTACTTTGAGCTGTTAGATGATGAAACTAGTTACGTATTAACACTGGCGTCTATCAGTTATGAGGAGTATGGTATGTACAGGTGTGTAGCTACTGCTGATGGTATAGAAGAGAATGCTACATCAACTCCAGCACTTATTACTGGTAAGTGAATTGTTTTTTAAAGTTAAAATTATAGAGCCAATCACCTTGATGTACTTATGCTGTATAAATAGTTTGAGCTGATTTCAACTTAAATTTTTCAAGTTATGGCTATTTTAAAATCCCTGTACTATAGTCCATGGTTTTTTTTCAAAAAATGGCTCCAAAATCCCCTCAAATTTTTATTAGATTTTTTGATACATATTGATGTACTTATGCTGTGTGGAAAGTTCGAGTTGATTCCGACTTAAATTTTTAAAGTTATGGTTATTTTTTAAAATCGGCCAAAATCTGAAAAAATCACTGTACTTATAGCCGATGGTTTTTTTCAAAAAATGGCTAAAAAATCACCCCCAATTTTTATTACATTTTCTGATGCATATTGATGTCCTTATGCTGTGTAGAAAGTTTGAGCTGATTCCGACTTAAATTTTTAAAGTTATGACCATTTTAAAAAATCGGCCAAAATCTGAAAAAATCACTGTACTATAGCCCATGGTTTTTTCCAGAAAATGGCTTTAAAATCACCCCCAATTTTTATTACATATTCTGATACATATTGATGTCCTTATGCTGTGTAGCAAGTTTGAGCTGATTCTCATTGCTGGATTTTTAGTTATAGCTCTTTGAAGTAGCATAGTAGTCAAAGGTTTTTGAGTCATAATCATTATTATTAATCTTTCTTCTTTACAGTATCACCTCGTGGCAGTGTAGATGCTACTCCAATGTATAGTACAGTATCCATTGGTGATACTGCTAACTTCACATGTAGAGCTCAAGGTGGACCTGGGAACATGTTCTGTTGGGTCAAAGGAAACTTTACTGGTCCTACTTTGACTGCTCCTCTTAATGTCACCCAATTTTTGAATAGTTTAAGCATTTTCCGATCAGGCTATGAACTCTTATTTACTGTGAGTGGAGGAGCAGCAGATGGTGGCTATTATACTTGTATAGTAGTCAATGAAGCTGGTTATGATACTGATAATGTTATGTTGTTTGTGCCACCAGTAATTATATTAAATCCAACGGATCAATATGCTCATCCAGGAGATACCGTTACCATTAGTTGTATGGCTGACTCCTACCCTCCCCCTACTTATCAATGGCAGGTATTAAACACTGATACTAATATGTATCAAGATATTAATGGAGAGACAATGACGAATTTCACCATTGAAAACATTGATTATGATCAGTTTGATATGTATCGCTGTGCAGTAACTACACCAGTCATTAATGAAAGAATATACTCACAACCAGCACTGATTACTGGTGAGTTATTGATTCATTAAATACATGTCATACGTTTATTTTTTCTACTTTTTTTATTGTCTTTACATATATCTTTCCTTTTTTCTACAGTATCTCCTAACAGCAGTGTCAGTATTGATCCTGATTTACACATAGCTGATAATGGCAGTGACATTACTTTTACCTGCTCAGCAAATGGAGGTCCAAACAACACATTCCTTTGGGTCAGAAGTGATGAATTCGAAAATCTTATAAGTCTAAGTTCTATTCTACAAAACCTTCCATTTCAAAACACCATTTCAGTACAAGACGTAGTAGACGAACTATCTACCATTACTTTAGAAACTGGCACTACTTTTAGCATATACAACATCAATGCAACGGAGGATGGAGGTGAATATCTATGCATAGTCCTTAATGAAGCTGGCATTGATTCAAACAACACACTACTCCTTGTACGTCCAGTAATTACGATTCAGCCACAAGAGGTACTCACTGTTGCTAATGTCAGCGTATCATTGAACTGTCTTGCTGACTCTTTTCCACCTCCTTATTATCGATGGAGATACACACCTACTAATGGAATGTCTCAGTATGTACCTGGAGCTAATGAATCTACACTGGTGTTCCCTTCTATAAATTATGTGGAGTTTGGTTCGTATGTTTGTATTGCTTCTTCTGATGGTATACAAGAAACTGCTACCTCAGATATTGCTGTTGTTACTGGTAAGGAAAATAGCTTGATTTTATGTACTAAATGCAATACTTATGCATTACGTGATGTGTAGGATTTGCTATGTAATATTACATTTGCTATGTAAATCTAAATGTGTCATTATGTTATACTAATATTGTGCAATCTAGTTTTAGCGAATTCCCAGCAAAAATTAGAAAGTACTGAAAAAGTAGTAGAACCTAAAATTGATCAATATTGAATAGTTGTTTATTGATAATATTTCTGCTGAAGCATTTTTATAATTTGTTTTTTTTATTTTAGTGTCTCCATTGGGTAGTGTGTTCATTACTCCTCAAGTCAATAACTCGTTTGAGGATCAAAGTGTAACTCTGACCTGTGGCGCTCATGGTGGACCTAATAATGGTTTCCAATGGAATTATACTAGAACTGGACAGATCGTGGGAATGGATCCTGATTATACATTAACTACTAGTATAGAGACTGCTGGATACTATCAGTGTATTGTTAGTAACAGAGCTGGGAGTGATGATAATACTGCTACTGTTAATGGTGAGGGAGGGAGAGAGAGAGAGAGGGGAGAGAGGGAGGGAGTGTGTATAAATATATAGTTAATGGGTATATATTGTATTGTATTAACTGTGGGAGGAAGGGAGTCGACTAATACAATGTA